CACTCCGATCAGGTGAGCTACCCCTCCTCATCCCCTCTTCTAACACCTCCTTCTACACACCTGCCATGCCTCTCTCCTCTGATGCTAGTCCCTCCCCTGCAGGTGTCTGCCCTTCTGCTTCACCCCCAGAATCCTCTGGCACCTGCATCTTCCCTTAGCCCTGCACCCTCCAGGTGCCACGCTGTCACTACAGTATGGAAGCAGTGACTGTTAGAGCCCCAGGCCCTTTAAATTGCTGCCGGAGCACAATTTGGCACACTGGGTGACTCTCAAAGCTGGCTTGGGAGGGCTGGTGTGGTTCATTCTGAGCAGTGCTGAGAGCTGGCTGCTCCAGCTCCACCCTTTCTTGCATGAGGCCCTGCCCCTTCCAGGAGTACAGAGCTGGCTTCCTCCACCATGCTGATGGGCTCAACAAGACCCCTTTAACTATTCCTCAAAATAGTACCCTGAAACCCTCATTCACAAGTCATATATGGTTGTGTTATTTCACACAAAACATGCCAAGTAAGATTCTATATGAAAGGTCATGATCTGCTGAAACTCCTCATTCTCTCAAAATACCATATTTCATTAGCGCATATGAAATTATGAGATTTTGCTAGTTGCTGAAATATGTCGTGAGTTTGAAAGTTGCCCATTGCTAGTTCTTCAGTGACAATGGGTTATGGATGTACCACTTGTAAGAAATGAGATTTCATTAATATCTCTGCTTTCCATTAATTGTGGCTTTCTGCATTCTGGCATCTAACTGCCATTTTAGGCACCAATATGCCAGAATCAGCCCCTCTCCTCCTTAGGATTCACAACCCTCCTTAGGATTCACACTTCCCCCACTCATCTGTGCCTTCATTTTTACATTACAAGCCTACTTATGCTATGCACAGTGTAGCCTCTTGCCAGGTGTCCACACATCTAAGTTCCAGAGCAAATCACAAACTGGGGAAAATAGATGTTCCTCCACCTAACTCGCCTGTGGGCCCTATCCAAAAAATGCTTCAAACTTTGCCTATCAGATCAGGCCCCTAGAGGTGAGCTTGTATAGAAGAGCTGTGACGGAGGAGGAATTCCTTCCTACCTTTTAGCCTAGTAGTTAGGGTTCTCAACTGGGATATAGTAGACCCTCCACTTCAAATCCACGTAGTCTCTGAAAGGAGAAAAGGGATTTGAAAAACGATCTACCATCTCTGGAAAACATCCTAGCCACAGAACATTGGACTATTCTGCTGTGTGGGGCTCCCTGCTCTCTCCGGTTGAAACTGTTGCATTGTAGATCATAACTAAAAAAGCGTGAGAGTAGGGGACTGGAGCCTGAATTATCCATCTTGTAAGGGATTTCTCTAAGCAGCAAGCTATAGAGTCATTCTCGCTGTCAAGTTGGCCTTCTGATTCTTTTTATTATTTATTCAGAGTGTGACAGCTTCACGGGAGAAATCAAGAGAGCCCCTCTCAGGATATCCCTCACCCAAATCCTTGGGCTATGCACATTATAAGTGGCAGATCCTTGTTAAAGTTCCTTTTGCCCTACAGGTGTGTCTCCCAAATCCCAAGTGAGTACTCCAACCACAAGGGTAATATTAGCAGGGATGTCTTTCTTGCTAAGATGATGTAGACAAGAAAAAGTTTGTAGCTGAGAATCCCAAACAGAGCAACACATCCCTGATGCCCAGACTTAGGCAACTATCTCTGTCCCACCCTTGTTTTGGTATCTCCCACTGGCTAGCTTAAGCAAGGAGTCACCTAGCATTCAGTACATTGGACATTTTTAAAAAAAACTAACTGTCAGGGTGGTTAGCACTAGAATAAACTGCTTAGGAAGGTTGTGGAATATCTGTCCAGTGTAGTCTAGAGGTACTTAATATTTTCATGACTGTAAGGAACTGAATAAGGTGATTCTCGATCCCTTCTTGTCCTATTATTCTGTGATAGAACTTTGCACCTATATTCATAGAATCATAGAATTGGAATGGACCTCGAGAGGTGATCAAGACCAGTCCCCAATCCTCATGGCAGGAAGAAGCACGGTCTAGATCATCTCTGACAAACATCTGTCTAACCTGCTCTTAAGTATCTCCAGTGATGGAGATTCCACAACCTCCCCTCCTCCCTCCGAGGCAATTTATTCCAGTGTTTAACCACCCTGACAATTAGAAAGTTTTCCCTCTAACTCCTTTGCTGAAACTTAAGACCGTTGCTTCTTGTCCTAGCCTCAGAAGCCAAGGAGAACAATTTTTCTCCCTCTTCCTTGTAACACCCTTTTAGATACTTGAAAACTGCTATCATGTCCCCTCTCAGTCTTCTTTTCTAAGCTAACTAAGGCCAATTTTTAGTCTTCTCTCATAGCTCATGTTTTCTAGACCTTTAATAATTGTTGTTGCTCTTCTCTGCACCTTCTCCATTTTTTCCACATCTTTCTTGAAATGTGGTGCCCAGAACTGGACAATACTCTAGTTGAGACCTAATCAGCACAGAGTGGAGTGGAAAAATGACTTTGTGTCTTGCTCACAACACTCCCGTTAATGCATCCCAGAATCATGTTTGCATTTTTTGGTAACGGTGGCCCACTGTTAACTCATGTTTAACTTGTCATCTGCTATGACCCCTAAATCCCTATCAGTGGTACTCCTTCCTAGACAATCACTTCTGTATGTGTGAAACTGATTGTTCCTTCTTAAGCCCACCCCAGCCTTTTGTTGTCAATTCAGAAACTTCCAGTTATGCCATTGGGGTAGTACTGTCACCACCATGGAGGACCATCAGGCATTCTCCATCCATGAACATTCTACGCCAGAAAGTTTAATCCCACAGAATGGAGCTACAAAATCTATGACAGAGCTGATAGCTATCAGTGCCACCTTTGAGTGACATCACCTCTTGGAAGGTGTACATTTCCCCATCTAGGAAACTACCACCCATAAACACTGAAAACACTTGAGATCGGTGAAGGCCCTGAAACAGTTTTTTTTTTCTTTGTCTTGAGTTCATGCTGCATTATTGATCTGGATGCCAACAGCAAGCCTGGTGCACTCTCTCACAAGGGGGACTACCTTGATGGCAAGAAAGGTCCATCAGAATCCTCCAGCATCCTGAAACCTCAACATGTCACCAATGTATTAATGAACAAAGATCTTTTAGCCCTTGCAAAATATTCTCTACACAGTGAGCAATTTGTATCAAAGCAGATGTTGCTTAATGCCAAGTCCAATTCAAGCTTCTCTGTTAGAAATGGAGTACTTCTGTTCAGATACTGTTTGGCTATGTCTACACTCGCAGCTTCTTGCGCAAGAAAACATCCACACTGCTATGTGCGAGCTGTGCTTTTGTGCAAGAGCGCCCATGGCAGTGTGGATGCTTTGTGCAAGAAAGCTCTGGTAGCCATTTTAGCTATAGGGCTTTCTTGCGCAAGAAATCCCTGCTGAGTGTTCACACTGCCCTCTTGCGCAACAGGCCTTACACCGGTCAAAAAAGAGCATAGCTCTTGCGCAAGGAGCCCTCTCTTACCATGCCATACTGTAAATTTACTTGCACAAGAGCGGGCGGGCAGTGGGGCCACTCTGCAGATTCTTGTGCAAGAACGGCTGTACTTGCGCAAGAAGCTGCGAGGGTAGACATAACCTTTATGTCCCCCAAGCCGATCCCATCTTGCAACTCTCCAGCTATGCCACAACTCCTCTCAGGATAGTCATTTTGGAAAACTGATTGAGACACATTTCTGGTAGTCTAGACTGCACACTTCAGTGAGCTCATATGCAGACTCATGGAAAGGTCCGCATGCATATGGAGCTGCCCCACACTAAGCTGTTAGACTCCTTGGGCTCCCCGCTTATTCTTTTCTGACTGTGGGAATCAATATAAATGTATTTTACTGTGGTGCTCCCTAATTCCAGAATTGTATTCAAAATGGTACACCACCTATCCAAAACTCACTTTGTGCTCTGCTGCAAAATCCTAATTGCAGAAGTGATAGCCCATTAGTCTTAACCCATGCAGCTTGCAAACTTTGTCAATCTTCAATATCATATTAGATCACAGATCAGAGTTTGTCACCCACCTTTCCCAGGAGCTCTTCTGCCTCTTAAATGTTGACCTATGCTATCCACTACTGGTGATACCATTCAGGTCTTCTGACTGCCTGTTCATTTAGTTAGTTTAGAACAAGATACAGTGATTTTCATCAAGACAACTGTGTCCAACTCCTACCCTCTCCAGAATTCTGAACATAAGTTTACCCAGCAAAGACCCTTTGCCTCAAGCTATTGTTTCCACCCCTGATTCTGTCCTTCATTAATCTCAACTTCCTACCTCCTTCCAGCTTCCGAGCAGGTGAAGTGGTTCCTTCATATTCAAGAGGAAGTAAGATCCCAGCTTGACACCACCAAAGCAGACTATAAGTGGTTTGTTGACCACCACCAATAGATCAAACCTTCCATTACTGTTGGTGACAAGAGATAGCTTTCCACAAAACACTTAGGTTATGTCTACGCTGCCCCCGTTTTGTGCAAAAATATGCAAATGAGGCAAAGTGTGGAATATTGCTGTACCTCATTGGCATAATTAAGGAAGTTCCATTTTGGCGCAAGAGGCTTTTGTGCAAAACCCTCCTCTTGCACAAGAGCCATTCTTCCGCTTTTTTCCAGGAAGAATGGCTCTTGCACAAGAGAGTTTTTTGTGCAAAAGCCTCTTGTGCAAAAGCCGAGCCTCATTAATTATGCAAACAAGGCATGGCGCTATTCCACACTGCCTCATTTGCATATTTTTTGTGCAAGACAGGGGTACTGTAGACATAGCCTTATGCAGCTCATCCCTCACACAAATTTGACTACTGCTACCTTGCTCCCTTCCTTGCCATTCAGCAAATTTACTTGGTCACTTTCTGCCTCCAGCTACCCCCTACATTCGCTACACCTCTCATATTTGCCCTTAATCTCCTCTTTTCCAAATTGAATGGATCCAGTCTCTTTAATCTCTCCGGGTATGTCTACACTACCCTCCTAGTTCGAACTAGGAGGGTAGTGTAGACATACCCTCAGTGTATGAAAGCTGTTCCATATCTTTCATCATGTTTGTTGCCATTCTATGAACCTTTTCCAATTCTATTTTTTTTTAGTTTATATTCATTGCAGTAAGCCAGTTTTTAATCAATTTAATGTTTGCTATGGCTTTTTTATATCTCTTGGAGGTCTTTAATCAAAGTGTCATGTAATAATTCAAATGCCTTACAGAACTCTGTGCATATCTCATCAACAATTATCTTTATCAGCCAAACTTGTTTAGGATCTATTTTTGATACACTATTTTCCATAAGCCTGTGTTTATTGGCAATTATATTTCCTTGATTCTTTATCAAGCAAAACCTGCATCAGCTGCACCATTCTTTTCTGGGATTGTTGTCAAGCTCGCAAGATCACTATTTGGATGATCCCTTACTAAACACCAACACCACATTAGCTTGCTTACAATCTTGTGGCGGTTCCCCAGTGTTTCAGGGCTTAGTGAAAAATCAGTATTAATGATCTAGCAAGCTCCTCAGTGAGATCTTTTAAAAACATTTAGATGCAAGTTATCTGGTCCTGTATCACTTTAGTAGTTGCTGTTTAATATCCTCCTGAGACATTGGTGAACTGGAAAAAGTGTTATGGTATCAATTAATCACATCATCTGATTTTTCCTCAAACACAGAACAGAAATTTATTGAATATTTGTGTTTTAAGCTTTATTATTAATAATTCTACAATTTGTATCTATCAATGAACTAAAACCAATCAATGAACTAAAACCATTGTTAGCATTCTTTTATTCTTAATATGTTGTAAAATTTCCTTCTTACCTTTGCTGATGACTGATTTCAACTACTGTCTCTTTCTTGCCATTATTAGTTTTCTACAATTCTTACCTTTTGATTTATTGTCATTAAAATCAACTTTTCTTCCATTTGTTGTATATTATTAACTTTGTTGTAGCTGCCTTTACCTACCCTCCAAAGCAGACCAGTATTTTGACTAATACAGCTTTCTTCCATTCTGGAATTACTGCTTTCTGAGGATCTAGTAAAGTGGTCTTAAGCAATTTCCAATTATCATTCACATTTTTCTAATTAAATTCCTCCCCCCAGCTGATTGGTTTCTAACTATTTGTTCAGTGTTGTAAAATTGTTCCTTTTGAAGAACCAAGTATATCTATCACTGGTCTGGTCTCTATTCTGCTTACATGTTATAAATGTGATGACTGCTATTTACTTAGCATTCACTTTTAGTTGTGTGATAAGATGAAACCCAATAAGATAGATAAGAATGTCTCTTTGGTATCTAAGTACCTTTAAAGTCAGAAGTTGCATGGGCACCCACAAAGATCTGATCCAGGATTTAAACTAAGGAAATGGAGGAGGAAATGAACTAAACCACTGTTATGTCTGCTTAGTAATATTCCTGCTATTGATTTGTCTTTTCAGGTGTTCTGTGGCTGTCTATTGTAGCAGAGCTACTTTATATCATTTTGCTTCTGACTGGAGCCACTCTGATGTCAATAGAAGTGTGCTACTACAATACAATCATTGATGGGTTAAAGCTCAATGCCTTTGCTGCGATATTTACTGTACTAGCAGGTACAGTTTAGGATTTATATATGTTTTTCTCTTCAAGATATTTTTTGCGACAAAATTGTTAATTATGGACCAGATCCTTAAATCAAAGAGTTTGCCAGAATGAGGCCTCTGGACTGGGGCCCTAGATTTTCTAATATTACTGTAAATGGAATTCATTACACTTAGGCTGTGTCTACACTGGCATCCCTTCTGGAAAAGGGATGCTAATGTAGCACTTTGGAATAGGCAAATCCGCGAGGGATTTAAATATCCCCCGTGGCATTTGTATTAACATGGCTGCCGCTTTTTTCCGGCTTGGAGATAAGCCGGAGAAAAGCGCCAGTCTAGACGTGATTCTCCAGAAAATAAAGCCTTTTCCAGAGGATCTCTTATTCCTACTTGAAAGCCTTTTCTGGAAGGGATGCCAGTGTAGACACAGCCTTAGGGTATTTGGAAGCAAAAACTTCCCTCTGTTTTGGCAGCTAACAAACAGCTTTATTGATCAATAAGGCAAAGTGAGCCAAACATGACCCCAGCAGAGCCGGGCCCAGTAAGGCTGCCTAATACAATCAATCTTAGTATTGTATACCCTTAACCAAACAAGTCTTGAGGTCAGGGCAAGAAATCAAATCAAATTCCTTCAAAGAGGAATTATTATCAGCAAAGAAAGAAACAGGTTTTAGAGAGTAAGGGCTTTTGCTTAAAATAGTTCATTAACACATTCCAACAGCCCATCCTTCTGGCCTTTTCTTACATCACTGAAGGTCAGTTCACTCCCTCTAGTATACGTGCAGACACAAGAAACTGAAATGGCTTTTGTTATACAGAATGGCTTCTAGCTAAATATGAAATAGTTTCCACAGGTATGTCTACACTGCAAAGTTAATTCAAAATAACAGCCGTTATTTCAAATTAACTTCAATAGCGTCTATAAATGCAAACCACTATTTCGAATTTAGTAAACCTCATTCTACGAGGAGTAATGCCAAATTCAAAATAGCTATTTGGAATTAAGTGCCGTGTAGACACTTACTTCGAAATAGGGGGCCTCCAGCCCTTCCCAGGGGTCCCCGGTAGCCACTCCGGGCACAACCAGGAAAATTTACTCTTTTCCCCCAGCCCCGGAGCCATTAAAGGTGTAGACTCTGGCCACATGGCCTGTGCCAGCTCCAAGTCTGCAGTCCCAGAGCCAGCAGAGGCCACTGAGGCCCCTGACCCAGAGCTCCAAAACATGAGCCAGCAAGCCACTGGCAGCCTTCCCTCCACCACTCCCCCGGAGCCGTCTTCCCAGGAGCCTGACGGGCTGGAGAAGGCTGGTGCCTTCCTGGTCCAGGGTGGAGATCATGGACTTTATTCAGGTTTGGGGGGGATGTCCCCTATGTCCATGATCTCCGCACTAGATGGAGGAATGCAGCCATCTATGGCAGGATAGCTGCCAGCCTGGCCACCAAAGGTCACATGTGAACCTAGAAGCAGGTTTGCATGACAATCAAGATGGTCCAGTGAGACCCCCAACCCTGAACCCTGAGCTTTCCCTCCCCTTTCCCCTAGCTTCCCCCTTCCAGCTCCCTCCTCCCAGGTTACCCTCTCCCTCTTCCCCCATCCTTTTCCCAGTCTCCCCAGAGGTTCATCTTCCCCTCCCCAGTTTTGTTCAATAACCCCAGTTTCTATTTTTGAACATACATGTTTTTTATTTGACATCAGGAAGAGGGGCGAGGGAGGGGTAAGTGGGAGGATGTGAGGGAGGAATGGGGCATGAGCCCCCTGTGGGGAGGACCGGGATGGCTGAGAGCTCCTCAGAGTGGACCCTCTCCCTCAGGGCCTTCAGGATATTGACAGGCCCCCCAATAGACCCCCCCAGATGACAGCCTGCAGCAAGTGCAGCCGGGCTGATGGCAACGATCCCATGAGACGCACCAGTGTGCCCAGGGGCAGCTCTGGCTCCATGTGGCCAAGTGCTGTGGTGTCCCAAGTGCGGGCACTCAGAGCACTCCAAGACACGACTGCTTTGCTGTCCCTCACTGAAGTAGACAAGCAAGCAGGGAACCCTGAGAACTGTCTGTCTGGGGTGGGGGTAGGTTCCCTTTAAGCATGGAGCTCAGTTAGCCTCAGGCAGCAGCCCCACATACTAAGTCCTAACCCGATGCCCTGCTGGCACTGGTTCCGGTCAGCCTTAACTTCGGTTCAGGGTCCACTCAGTGTGGACATGCTATTTCGAAATAGCAAAACGCTATTTCGAAATAATTTGTGTGTGTAGACGCATTATTTCAAATTAGCTTAATTCGAATTAACTATTTCGAATTAAGTTAATTAGAAATAGCGCTGTAGTGTAGACATACCCTTAGAAACGGCAACATTCTCCATCTATACTGCAAGGCTTTTCCACAAGAGGAAATGCAAATGGAGCATTCATTTGCATATGTCACACTTGCATTTGCATTTCCTCTTCAGATCCCTTTTGTGCAAGAGGTTTTTGTGCAAAAAAGAACTGTGTAGATGGCTCCTTTTTGCGCAAGACCCCCCCTTTTGCTCAAGAGCCGTTCTTCCTCATTTTTTCAGGAAGCTGAGTACTTAAATCCATCATTTGTCCTTTGCAATGCTTTTGACATCTTGTCAATGATATCCTTCAGGCAGGGAGGCCAACAGCTTCCACCGTCCCCCAGTCAAAGTGAGAAGGGATGAAGCCTCGAGCGGAATGGGCTGGACTATGGTCAGAATGCCCTCCATGCCACCCAAAGGATGGACCTGCCCCCCCCCCAGAGCAGCATTCCAGCAGTAATTTTAATGGCCCACAGCTCCTGCCACTGCCACAATAGCCATTCAACAACACTGATTTTCTGCAACAAAGGCAGAGCTGAATTTAGTTGACTTACATGGACTCAGTGTCATCTACCAGGATAACATTCTTATGATTTTTAGAGCCTCACCCTTCTTGAACATCAAGTCTATGGTGCTCTAGAGAGGCTCTGTCAACACCATCTCTGTGTGAAGTCAGAACAGTATGAACTTAGTTGGCTGTGACAATCTTTCTGTATAAAGAGGTGCAAGCTTCCTTTCACCAACTAGATCATCATAAAATGATAGAGCTGGAAAAGACCTCAGAAGGTCATCAAGTCCAGCACCCTGCTCTAGGCAGGACCAATTCCAACTAAATCAACCCAGCCAGGGCTTTGTCAAGCCGAGACTTAAACACCGCTAGGGATGGAGACTCCACTACTTCCCTAGGTAACACATTCCAGTGCTTCACCACCCTCCTAGTGAAATAGTTTTTCCTAATATCCAACCTGGACCTCTCCCACCACAACTTGAGACCATTGCTCCTTGTTCTGCCATCTGTCACTACTGAGAACAGCCTCTCTCCATCCTTTTTGGAACCTCCCTTCAGGAAGTTGAAGGCTGCTATCAAATCCCCCCCTTACTTCGCTTCTGCGGACTAAACAGACCCTCAGCCTCTCCTCATAGGTCATATGCTCCAGCCCCCTAATCATTTTGGTTGCCCTCTGCTGGACCCTCTCCAATGCGTCCACATCCTTTTTGAAGTGGGGGGCCCAGAACTGGACACAATACTCCAGATGTGGCCTCACCAAAGCCGAATAAAGGGGAATAATGACATCTCTGGATCTGCTGGCAATGCTCCTCTTAATGCAACCCAATATGCCATTAACCTTCTTGGCTACAAGGGCACACTGTTGACTCATATCTAGCTTCTCATCCACTGTAAACCCCAGGTCCTTTTCTGCAGAACTACTACTTAACCGGTTGGTCCCCAGCCTGTAACAATGCTTGAGATTCTTCCATCCTAAGTGCAGGACTCTGCACTTGTCCTTGTTGAACCTCAGATTCCTTGTGGCCCAATCCTCCAATTTGTCTGAGTCATTCTGTACCCTATCTCTGCCCTCAAGTGTATCTACCTCTCCCCCCAGCTTAGTGTCATCCGCAAACTTGCTCAGGGTGCAATCCATCCCCTCATCCAGATCATTAATAAAGATATTGAACAAAACCGGTCCTAAAGCTGAACCTTGGGGCACTCCGCTAGAAACCGACCGCCATCCTGACATCGAGCCGTTGATCACTACCCGCTGGGCCCGGCCTTCTAGCCATCTTTCTATCCATCTTACCGTCCATTTATCCAATCCACATTCCCTTAATTTGCTGGCAAGAATATTCACCACAGGACTCTTCCTGATCCATTCTGATCCCACAAAACCATTTACGGCAAAAGCTAATGTGTCAAACTTTGCACTAGGGACAATTTTGACCCAGATGGTAGCACTTCATTTTCTATTTCTAAGCTAATGGAGGTGGAGAAATAATGATATATGATCTTCTAGCAAAGAAATATTTGCATAATGGAGATATCTACGGGAGGGGATGAGGTACATCAAGGTTTTGACAGATCATAAATATTTAGAGTACCTCCAGATAGCAAGACTTTAATTAATTTCAGAGCTACTAGCCCCTCCTCCTTGCTCAGTTTGATTTTGTGGTTTTCTAATGCTCCAGGGGGCCAGAAATGAAAAGGCCAATGTTCTCTCCCAAAATAATGAATACTGTGAGCCTGGCAGGAGAAGTTACAATCCTCAGTGTCCAGCTTTGTTTTTGGGACCCTAGGGAACAACCTGACCTCTTCCATCTGTTCCCTGGTATCCACTAACCCCTTTGCACTTGAACCTGCCAGACCAAGGATGACATCAGTACCCAACTTATTGCTGAGTTCAGACTACAAGATGACATTCTGTATTACAAGGATTGTATCTATTTCCTAGACAGACAGCTTTGGCTTCAGGTTCCAAGGAATTTAGTCTTAAAGATATTCTGGTAGCCAGCTCTGTGTTTCTCTGTCAAAGACTACACAAAATCCAATGATCTTTGCGCCTGAACCAAATGTCTCAATCTGAGACCATTTAAACTTCTCCATAGCCTGCCTGCTCCACCTCAACCAGGGCCTCTAAATCCACATCTTAAAGATTAAGAGGACATCCATACTTACTGGAAGATCAATGCTCTGGAGGTTGATCTTCTGGTGCTCGACTTAGTGAGTCTAGTCTAGACCCTAAATCTTACACTGAGGGTAGTTCCACTGGCATCCAGTACCTTCTTTTGCAAGGAGTAAAGGAAGCTGACAAGAGTGCTCGCTCCTGTTGGCCTCCCGCAGTGTGGATGCCGTCAAGGCTCGGCTTAAGGTAAGCCAACTCCAAGCTATGCATTTTGCCATTTCAGTAGAGAACCTAGGTCTCCTACATCCTAGCTGAGTACCCAAAGCCACTGGGCTATAAAACCAGTCTGTTGCTCAACTCGTCAGAACATTGTTATTCCACATTGGGTAAACACTTCAATATCTCCTACAGGCAAGGACAGAAAGTCACTCCATACATAGGTTGTGGGAGATCTGGGTTCAAATCAAGGAGAACAGGATCTCAAACTTAGACTTTCTACTCACCAGCTCAGTGCCCTAACCATAAGGCCAGGACACATATGCACTGTGTGATGGGTACCAGTTCCTATGTGCACTCTTGTCCCACTGGTGAGATAAGTGAAAACCTAGTTTAAGAAACCCACTTTAGGTCCAGTGAGTTTCAGCTTAAGTGAGGGCTCCCAACATTGCATTAGCAATGGGTCTGATCACCTACTACTGTTATTACCCTGTTCAAAGTGAAATATGCCCCCATACAGTAGGCCTGGCCACATCCCTGTCATGGTTGTTTACCAGATACAGACGAACTCTTTTCAAAAGTCCAAAGTCCAATGTCGTCTCTACTCTACTGAGTTCTTCCACATCTCACATGACCATCCTTGCTATGTTTGGCAAGTTTCTCTAAGGGTACGCCTAGACTGCAAGCTTCTTTTGAAAGAAGCTTTTTTGGAAGAGATTAAAAAAAAATTTGGAAAGAGAATGTCCACACTGCACAAGCTCATTGAAAAAGCAATCTGCTTTTTCAAAAGAGCATCCACATTCATTAGACACTCATATAAAAGGCCACCTGGAACCACTTCAGCCAAGACATTAGGTCAACAGTTACTTTTGAGTGCTGTTGTCTAAGGCTATCTGAAAAGCATGCTTAAAGGGACCCCCCCCCCCGACAGCCGTTTCTCAGGTTCTACTGCATGCTTGCCTACCTCTGAGGGACAGCAAAGCTTTAGCAGTGCACGCTCTGGTTGCCCAGCTTTGTTGGGCACCTCAGCATTTATTTTTATTTTTATTTTTTTTGCTATGGAGCCAGGCATGTGATGGCCCCATTCTGCCATGCTGCAGGTTACCCAGCAGTTTCAGCAGACCATCTTGACAATCCTGCCCCGGCTTGATTCTGAGCTCATCTGTGAGTCCTTCTACCTGGATGCAGGAGCAATGCCCTTGCCCCTGCACCCCACAGGGTCATCCCCCTGAAGAGCTGGCCACAGTTGTGGCCAGATTTGTTGTCCTGGGTTTTCCAAACCAAGGAGGAATGATTGATGGGACCCACATTCCAATCCATGCACCACATATTAAGCCACACAGTACATAAAGGCTATTTCTCCATAGTGCTGCAGGCCCCAGTCATCCACCGTGGACCGTTTCTGGACATATTTGTTGGGTGGTCAGGCCGGGCAAACAACGCATGCATATTTAGGAACTCTAGTCTCTACCACAAGCTGGAGACTAGCACATTCTTCCCCCAGCAGGACTTTTGCATGGGGGACTTACAGATGCCACTGTACATCGCTGGGGACACAGCCTACCATTCGTGCCATGGTTCGTGAAGCCATACACTGGCCACTTCAACCAGGGAACAATTCAATGTGCACTGAACCAGCCCCGCATGCAGGTTGAAAGTGCCTTCAGGCGCCAGCCAGGAGTGAATGGGCTTCCAACAGTCATGGAAAGCTGCCATGTGCCAGGCCCATCAGTTGGGGATGTGCATCCTGAGGGAGAGTTTCTCTGAAGGACCCCAGTAATTCTCCCAGAGCCTGCCCAATGGGGGCCTGTGTCTTGCCCCGCCCCCAGGCCTTTCCCACCACAATCCCTCCCTGACCCCTTTCCCTGTACAATCAATAAAAATAATAGTTGTGTTGAACAACAAAAACTTGGTATATATTTTTTAAAAAACAAAAAGTAACTAGGGTGGAGGGGGGCTCAGAATCTGGATGGGAGAGCGAGGGGTGGGGGTGGGAACAGGGCTGCGCGTGGCACATGGTGTGCCTGCAAGTGCTGCCTTGGGTCCAGGGACCTTGATGGACTCAGGGTTGGGTGGGGCTGAACAGGAGGGCAGGCTGCAGTGGGGTCAGGTGTCTTGGCACACTTGTGATTAGGCTCACATTTCTGGGGTCTGAAATTCTCTTTAAACACTATTTTCAGGTCTCCTGAATCTCAAGTTTTCCATTGAGTCATTTATCTGTGCCAAATTTCATAGGGCTCAAGCCTTATGCCAATATAGCTGAAGTTAATGCCTTATAGGATACAGCCCTGTTATTCCTTCCATTACAGCTGAATATACATTAGTCCCCAAGCCACACAACTCAGGATACATATCATATAAGCTTTTCAAAGCAGTTTAAAGGATTGTAGCTGGCCAGAGTAAAGCATGTCACGGTCACTGAAAATCAGTATGTTTTGTATACCTTAGATACCTTTTTAATATGCCAGCCTCATTCCTCAGTGTACAGTGAAGATTTGCATGTGCTATGCAGATGATTAATATCATCACTGATGGAATGGGCTTCCATGGAAGGGGCGTCCCATGTATGAGTTGCTAGTTTGTGTCGCAGCACCAGCTGTGTGTCTGTGTGTGTGTGTGTGGGGGGGGGTGTTACATTCACTTTACAATGGAGAGTAAAAATAGCTGAAAAAAAATAGACGTATAAATACTTCACAAAACATTCTGGCTATGTCTACACTGGCATGTTTTTGTGCAAATACTTTTAACAAGAGTTTTTGCATTAAAGTATTTGCACAAGAGAGCATCTACACTGGCATGTGCCTCTGCTCAAAAGCATCTGTGCCAGTGTAGACGCTCTCTTGCGCAAGAAAGCTCTGATGGCCATTTTAGCCACAGGGCTTTCTTGCGCAAGAAATTAACGTTGCCTTTCTACACTGCCCTCTTGTGCAAGAACAGTTGCACAAGAGGGCTTATCCCTGAGCGGGATCAGAGTATTTGCGCAAGAAGCACTCATTTTACACATTAGAACATCAGTGTTCTTGCGCAAGTACTCACGGCCAGTGTGGACAGGTAGCAAGATTTTGCACAAAAGCAGTCGCTTCTTGCCAATGTAGACAGCCACCGCCTATTCAATAGCAAATTCTAGGTTTAATATATATCTAACAAAGTTATATTTTTGTAGGTCTCTTTGGTATGGTCGCTCACATGATGTATACAACTGTATTTCAAATGACTGTCAACCTTGGTCCAGAAGACTGGAGGCCTCAGATGTGGGATTATGGCTGGTCCTATTGGTAATTTTGATGGACTCAGGGTTGGGTGGGGCTGAACAGGAGGGCAGGCTGCAGTGGGGTCAGGTGTCTTGGCACACTTGTGATTAGGCTCACATTTCTGGGGTCTGAAATTCTCTTTAAACACTATTTTCAGGTCTCCTGAATCTCAAGTTTTCCATTGAGTCATTTATCTGTGCCAAATTTCATAGGGCTCAAGCCTTATGCCAATATAGCTGAAGTTAATGCCTTATAGGATACAGCCCTGTTATTCCTTCCATTACAGCTGAATATACATTAGTCCCCAAGCCACACAACTCAGGATACATATCATATAAGCTTTTCAAAGCAGTTTAAAGGATTGTAGCTGGCCAGAGTAAAGCATGTCACGGTCACTGAAAATCAGTATGTTTTGTATACCTTAGATACCTTTTTAATATGCCAGCCTCATTCCTCAGTGTACAGTGAAGATTTGCATGTGCTATGCAGATGATTAATATCATCACTGATGGAATGGGCTTCCATGGAAGGGGCGTCCCATGTATGAGTTGCTAGTTTGTGTCGCAGCACCAGCTGTGTGTCTGTGTGTGTGTGTGTGGGGGGGGGTGTTACATTCACTTTACAATGGAGAGTAAAAATAGCTGAAAAAAAATAGACGTATAAATACTTCACAAAACATTCTGGCTATGTCTACACTGGCATGTTTTTGTGCAAATACTTTTAACAAGAGTTTTTGCATTAAAGTATTTGCACAAGAGAGCATCTACACTGGCATGTGCCTCTGCTCAAAAGCATCTGTGCCAGTGTAGACGCTCTCTTGCGCAAGAAAGCTCTGATGGCCATTTTAGCCACAGGGCTTTCTTGCGCAAGAAATTAACGTTGCCTTTCTACACTGCCCTCTTGTGCAAGAACAGTTGCACAAGAGGGCTTATCCCTGAGCGGGATCAGAGTATTTGCGCAAGAAGCACTCATTTTACACATTAGAACATCAGTGTTCTTGCGCAAGTACTCACGGCCAGTGTGGACAGGTAGCAAGATTTTGCACAAAAGCAGTCGCTTCTTGCCAATGTAGACAGCCACCGCCTATTCAATAGCAAATTCTAGGTTTAATATATATCTAACAAAGTTATATTTTTGTAGGTCTCTTTGGTATGGTCGCTCACATGATGTATACAACTGTATTTCAAATGACTGTCAACCTTGGTCCAGAAGACTGGAGGCCTCAGATGTGGGATTATGGCTGGTCCTATTGGTAATTTTTGCATTGAAATATGTAACTGTTCCACTAATATTTAAATTGCTCTCTTTGCCATTCTTGTCTTCAGGTAACAATTCATGACTGATTTGAACTTTCCATGGAGGCTGTAATACAACAGCCAATCTCTTTGTTTGGAATGTATGTAGCCTCATTTAATAGTATAAGGCTGCTTGGTTCCAGGACAGCCAGTATTAACACTACCCAAGGTGTGGAGGAATCAAAGCTCCCACCTCATCACCCACCTTCAAGCACAGGACACTGTTGGGGGACCTCCCCTTCCACTCCTCTGCACCAGTTACAGGCCTTCTTGCCCCACAGGTCTTATCTGTTGTCACTATAGATCGGGCTTGTACCATCATTTATTATTAAGCTTGGCTGACAGTTTATCAAACCCTGTTTTTCAGTTGCTTATAATTTTTCCAAACTTCAAGAATCCAGGATGAAATTTTCCTTCCCAGTTACCTGCCTCAGTCTGAATTATTTTGGAGAAACTTCAGCTGAAGCAGATCCATCATTTTGAAAATGATTGGGGCTATTTCTAGACTGCAGGCTTCTTTCAGAAGACACTTTTCCAGATATGATAATCTGAAAAAGCTTCTTCCGAAAGAGCATCCACACTGCCAAAGCAATCTGCTTTTTTGAAAGATAGCATCCATTCAGTGTGGACGCTATCTTGCATTTAAGCTGTGATTACTATGGATGGAGTGGCCACCAGTGCACCTGTGCTTTTTCCTCCTCCTTCTTGCAAAAGAACTCCCTCTTTCCTCTCTGCACATGCCTTCCCTCCCTCCCCCCAAAAGAGCTTTCAGAAAAAGGCTTCTTCCTTATGGAAAAAGGTGTACCAATGTCAGAAAAAGTCCTCTGTTCTTTTTTCTTTCGAAAGAATGTGATTAGTGTGGTCATAATTGAAGTTTTCAGAAAAACAGCCTTTTTCTCCCCCTGAAAAACCCTCCTTAGTATAGAGTGGTCACTAACTAACTATGCCTCTGATGTTTAGGGTAGCAACATCACTTCTGTCGATTTCTGATAAGTCATTCAGTAGTTTCCCAGCTGCATCTTAGGTTTTTCAGCTCAGCACCATGTTTTATCTCTTTTTCTTGCCTGAAGTGTCTATTTTATTGCTATTCGGGTGATAGCATCTGTCTGCATCTGAAGCACATGGCCAATCCAGCTCCAACACCTGTTGGTAATGATGGTACTCATATAGTCTTTACTACATTTCTGGAGGATTTTTCTGAGTCAGGATGTATGAGTATGAAGACAGCCTGGACATGTTGTCCCCAGCATTCTGCACTATAAAGTAGTATTAAAAGTAGACCATTCTCAATGAGAGTAGGGGAAAATGCCAGAGTTTATTCTCATGGGCAAAATAATGTAGTCTTTTCTTTAAGAAGTCTCTAGTATCTCAATGCTGCAGAGCAGAGATTTTACATTTGGTAAGGGGCTGGCATGTGTCATAAGGTGGTGACTTTTGCCAGCCTCATGAAAATCTCCCCCAATTTGGACAGGTAATAAGGCTCTGAAAAAAAAAAATCAGAGCTTAATTCCATTTACAAGTTTGATACCTATAACAGAGGTTTAAACAAAGACCTTAACTGGATTACCTTTACATTCCACATGCTAACATCATAAAAAACCCCAAATACTGGGCACTTAGCATCAGCTCCATCGGCTTCATTTAGCATAGACACTAACTTAAAAAACTACTAATAGTTTTGCAGCACCTTAGAGACTAAAAAAAAGTAGCTGGTGTCATGAGCTTTCGTGGGCAGAACCCACCTCTTCAGATTAATGGTGGTTAAGGAGTCTAGTTCTCATTTTGAACTTGCCCAGGTACTCATTAATGGATCTCAACGTCACCGTATTATTTCAAACCAATTTCAAAAGCCAGCTCAGAGAAGCTACAGAACTTATTTTCATTTAAGTTTGATACTTACAACAGGGCTACATCTACATTGGCATGATCTTGTGCAATAATCTATGCCAGTGTAGATGCTCTCTTGCGCAAGAAAGCTCTGATGGCCATTTTAGCTATAGGGCTTTCTTGCACAAGAAATTCATGTTGCCTGTCTACACTGACCTCTTGTGCAAGAACAGTTGTGCAAGAGGGCTTATTCCTGAGAGGGAGCATCATAGTTCTTGCACAAGAAGCACTGATTTCATACATTAGAACGTCAGTGTTCTTGTGCAAGAACTCGCAGCCAGTGTAGACAGGCAGCAAGTTTTTGCACAAAAGCAGCTGCTTTTGCACAAGATCGCACCAATGTAGACACAGCCCCGAAGTCTAAACAAAGATGTTGGCTGGATGGCCTGCTACATTCTATATCCTAATGACATAAATACAAACAAAGGGTACTTAAAAGTACTCTTATCAGCTTCATTTAGCATGGGCACTAATTGACAATTTCTTTCCCCTTTTTTCCTTCTCTCCCCTCCACCCATGCGCTCTGTGCTCTTTATATGTAAACTGGACCCCTTAAACACCATTCATTTGAAGAAGTGGGTTGTGCCCATGAAAGCTCATGATACTATCTACAGTTTAAGTCTCTGAAGTGCTGAAAGACTATTCATTGTTTGATTTTTTTTTTCCAGGAAAAAAACTTAAAAGTTTGCACATGTTTGGTAGAAACTTGTAAGAATCTTTGAAGTTTAACTTCCTGAGGGAGGGGGCAGTGACAAACATGATATACACTGATGATTAAGCAGTTCCCTGGGAAATAGGAGATGTGGATGTCCTTTCTGCCTGAGAGAAAGAATTTGAATCCACAGGTCTGGTCAGGTTTGTGTGCCTTAATTATCAGCTTATGGAGACAGTCTTATTCTCAGTAGCCCAATGAATAGTCATTAGAAGTGGAACAGCTTCAAAAGGAGAAACTTTGAATCACCCCAGCATAGCATGTTGCCCTCTATTTAAGATGCTCAATTGGACTGAGGGACAGGAGTTCAATTCCCTGCTTCAAAGGAGCGATTCAAACTTAGTGTCTTTGCCAAGGATGTGGGCATGCCAAGTGCTCAGATGTTGGCTATGACAAAATGTCTGTTTCTGGCCTGGAAAAAGCTTTTTCCTGATGATAGTAATTAGGTCAAGTTTATTAATAGTTTTTGGTCAACCTAAACTACATTGTGGGTGAATAAACTCTTGAATATATGCATACATTTCAAGGCCAGAAGGGACCACTCTGATCATCTTGGCTGATCTCTTGCATAACACAGGCCACAGAACTGCCCCCAAATCATTCATAAATTAGAACTTTTACAAGAACATCCATTCTTGATTTTCAAATTGCTAGTAATGGAGAATCCACCAGGACCCCTGGTAAGTTGTCATGGTATTAGCTGTCCTTTCTGTTAAAAATCTATGCCTTATTTTCAGTCTGACTGTCTCTCCACTTTCTATCCATTACAAAATTGCTAGCTTGAAGAACATTATTAAATATTTATTCTTAATAAAAGCAGTTATTGACTGATCAACCAGCCCTTAACCATCTTTTTGTTGTTAGATTGAGATTTTTGTGTTTATCACTATAAGGCAGTGGTCCCCAACGCGGTGCCCACAGGCGCCATGGCGCCTGCCGGGGCATTTGTGCGTGCCCGCCGACAACCTGGGCCGGCCCCGGCGCACGGCGCACAGGAGGTGCTGGTCTCAGGCACGTGACATGCACCGGCGCCGGGTGCGCAGCGCTCAGGCGGCCCCAGCCCCGGGGCACATGTGGGCGCTC